TTCTAAGGCACTAAGAAGGGACTGTGATATTCTGCAATGGCAAATGGGATGGCGATGACGAGTGACAGTGCAGTGCAAGTGATGATAATGATGGGTGCAAAAGTTCAAAGATTTGAGATTTTTGCTGCAGGTTACTCGTGGCCTCTCATTGCCCCCTCCGATGCTGTGGTACACGTGCGCGTACAAGTATACGTGTTCCTCCGCCAGCCAGCCTAGGACATTAGGCCACTTCCACGCGAACCTGAAACCGATGACTGATGAGATGACTTTTCCTGCCCAACTTTTCGGGTGTCTGGCGTCGTGGCAAAAAATGCAGTTCCACACGACGAACCGGAAACTGACGACGGATTTGTATCATCGGAGGTCTGCCTCTCCAACCGTATCGAAAGCTCCATCCAACACATCTATCACAACGGAACAACATCTCCGTTGATGTCTTTTCATATAGGAAGACCGTTGCTGTTGGGCCACTCAAGACAGGACTAGCATGCTTTGGCGCCTTTAGACTGAATGCTTTCGCGCCCACTGAGGATTCGATTTGAATTTGAATACGAAATGAGCGCCCAAAAATGTCATCATACTTATCAAAGTGGTGGTTTATGTTGTGCATAATGCAGCAACAGTGGAAGACAGTTTCAATTGTCTCCTTGTCATTGAACCTTGAACGATTTTTTAGACAAGCGAACCTTGCCTTCAAGATACCAAACGAACATTCCACATCTTTCCGAAGACTTTCGAGCCATTTGGACCAGCGATAGTCTGCGGATCCTGGAATTTGTGACTTGTATGGAGGGATCAACTCTGGCCATTCAAGGTATCCACCATCACAGATGACATAAACCCCCTTATGAACAATAACAGAACCATCCACTGTGCGAGTCCGCCAGACAAAATCCTTATACATTGTTTGCTCCCCATACTTACCCACACCCTTGATCTTTCGAATCATCTCATCATATGTAACAATAGTCTTGTCATTCCATGATCCCCAGAAGGCTTGGCTTACGGAGAGAATTCTTCTAGTGTGCGACACGATGACTTCAAAGGACAAAGTTGGATAGCCTTCTTTTCCGCACGCATCCGAATGGTAACCAGCTGAGCACCCATCCCAGCCAACATGGACACAGTCAATTGATCCAATACATCCAGGAAAACCAAGTAGAGTGTAAAAGTCCATTACCTAGTTTCAGATAACAAAGAAGAACAGAGCTCGGTGAGTCGACATATGAGTTCGTTACTTTGCATGGCACACCAAAACTCACCTTAGCTATTGATTGACTACACTCTGGAAACTTTATCCATTCCTTTGAGTAGCATTTGCGGAACCAAAAGGTAAATTTCATAAAAAAGAAATGGTTCAGAGACTTGCTTGTGTCAGTCACCAGTTCCATCCAATCGAACGTGAGATCTTGAGTGAGGATTCCAAGGGAACCCATAATCAAGATCCTAGAATCAATTCTTCTTGCGCCGTTTCTACTCTTTGGTGCTCTGTATTCACCGTCTAAATCCCAATCTTTGGCAATGGCATCAAAAGAGGAATAAGGGATACCAAACCTGCGCCGAAACCCTTTTGCTAGTGTGCTCTCCTGGTCCCATACGGAGCCCATGTCATTTGCATTGTGCTCATCAGCGTTCTTGATGTAGACATTGTAGAATGGCCCATTGTAGGGATTCCTCGCCACTCTTGGAGCTCTTGGGCCCCTGCCCCTCATATCTTCCCTTTCATAACCAGACTCGGAGGATGATCCCTCATCTTCGTCAAAACCGAAATCGAACAAATCTGACACGATCCCCAACTCCAGGAAAAAGTCGTCCATGCGGAAGTCGAAAATGTATTCAAAGACATGGAATGGGTCGCTGATTGTGGAGCTGCCACCACTCATGCTTGAGTCGAGACTTGAGTCGAGGCTTGAGTCAAGGCTTGAGTCAAGGCTTGAGTTGGCGCTTGAGTCCATGCTAGAGTCAGTGCTTGAATCAATACTGGCAGACATTCCACTGCTGCTGTTCATGGAGCTGTCGCTTGACTTCTCGCTTGAGCTCATGTTGAAAAATAGTGATGAAAATGATTTTACAGTTGCATTGGGTTCGGTGGTGGAGGCAATCAGTTTGACTTGATCAGTTTTCAGTTTTCAGTTTCGGTGACTGACCAAATGGCCAATTTATCAGTTTCTGATCAGGATTTTCAGCAAACTGGCCCAGTTTTGGAGGGAAAATGATCGTGTGGAAACGATTTTTCTTCAAAACGGAAACTGCGCGCGGAAAAGTCCGGCCAATCGTTAGTTTCAGGTTTGCGTGGAAGTGGCCTTATTCGTTAAACGACAACAACGATCGCACCGAAACGAGCTCCGTTGTATTATTACAGGGACCCACGGCAAACTTTGCGTTGCGGGTGACTGCAAGACGATTGATAGAATCGAACAACTCGAAGGAGTGGAAAATTAAAAGGGGCAACCTTTCCTCCCCTGAATATTATTCAGATCATACTTTGAAACCAGATTGCGTCAAGAATCTTGAAGAGGGAATGGCAGTATCCAAAGTGCTGCGGATACCAACCAATGATGAATTTGGATTGACAGAAGCATTCTGGGAGTTGACAGGAGTTCACAATGAAATGTCAGAAGTTCTTGCTTCTCACAGCTTTTTGGGTGCCCATCAAGAAGCTGATAGCAAGACCGCCACGAATAACTTTACAGAGCAAGTCTTGCAACTCCGCCCAAAACTTAAGACAAAAAAAGCAGAAATGCAAGGCATTGTAAGGAAAACAGATGAAGTGAATGGCTATTTGGATGACATCGTTAGAGTACCACCATCAGATGGAGAGAAAGAGAAGTAAAAGAAACGAAAGGCAACTGAAGAAAACACAAACAAAAAACAAAAGCCTCGCATCTGATATTGAGGAGAAATTCACTATTGTTGGAGCTTACCATTGTTCCAGATATTTCTGTGCACATTCACATTAGAATTGATTCATGAATGTTTCAAGGTTCTAGTTTGCGGTTAACGGCTGTCATGGCCATTTACCATACGGAGGTGAGTCCAGTACTATTGAACCAGTTTGAGGCATCCAATCCCAGGGAAGTTGCTCTATCGCTTATTACATTGCACCCTTGCACATGTAGAGACAAACTTGCCACTTGAGGCGGCATATTTTTATTTGATTTTTGTGTTTTTTGAAGGTGGTGGTGGGCAGGGTTATGTAGCAGGTGAGAAGCCACTTGTTCTTGCGCCCTACTGCTGTGGGTGTATTGATCCAAGTGAATGGAGTGTTCCAGAACAATGTGGCCACCATCTACATGACAGACTGCAGGTCCCTAGGCCTGTGATCGACAGAGGGAGAGTGAAACATAGAAGGGGCAGATAGATGACCGGGACATCTGTCTGTTTATGGACTTGCGCCGGGTGGCCAAGTCGATGTTGGGTTGGCGGGCCATGCCAGGTCAAAAATCGTCTGGCGTTGCCTGGCTAGAGAGCGACGGTTGATTGCTCTCTCATAGGAGACAAGGCGCAGCCAATGTTGACAATCTTTGAGTGATTTGTTGAGGACAGTTTTGCGGGAGTCCTGAAAGAGGTACTGCAAGCGTGGGGGGAGTATCCATCAGGCCCATGGCAAACTGTTTGCGGATGCCAATGTCAATCTCCCGCTTGCGAGCTATGTGCCAGGAGCTATCTTCAAATCAGTTGTTGGATCAGATGGGAGGCCAAAAGGCTGGCAGACTTCTTGGAGCCAATGCTGGAGAAGTGAAGGGCCTGCAGGTGTCTCCATTTGGGGGACACTAGGCCTTCAAGGAGGCTCTGGGCCCCAAGCATGGCTTCGGCAGAGACGGCACTTTGGAAGAGGTGGGGATGGCAGGACCAGGTTGGGACGGTGGGGACGCGCAAGGAAGGCTGACGGACTGTCTTCAGGTATTTGAAGAGGAAGGCTTTGATCTCTGGGGCAGTCTGCTGAGTCTGCATCCAGGTATGGAGGGCCAGATGGCGTTTTGACCATTCTGCAACTGCAGTAGGGGCAGAACAGGGTGGAACATGGAGGTGATCTTCCACGGGGCAGGAGGAGCATCTGGCGCAGGAGCTCTTTGCCGACCGGTTCCAAATGGCCAAGAATTATCCCACACCCGTCATACCAGAAATATGCTTGGGTGTCCAGCGGTGGAGATCTGCTGGGAGGGCCTTCATGGCACGTGCAAGAGACAACCAATCAACCTCATGTATGGACTGCTTGGAGAGGCGGTCCTTGGAGGACCAATATGCTTGAAGGGCAGGAAGAGAGACCAGCTCCATGATGTGAGCCTGATCCAATTTGGAAGACTTAACACCATCCATGAATAAAGACACAGGTTCATGGAAGAAGCGGGAGTTGGAGGCAACAGAACGGCATGTAGACTCTAGCAGGCAGCGATAGGACTGTGCTTTGAAGTCCACTTCCACATTGCGCTGCTCCCACCAGTCCAGTTGGGAGAAAGACCGTTGCTTGTCCAGGTGGCCTTTAACATGGCGCCGATGAACTTGGAGGGGAAGATGGCAAAGCAAGGCCCAGATGGTGGAGGCCAGATCAAACTGAGCACCAGACGATGACAGGTGGACATTGGAGAAGGACTTGCCTTATCAAGAGCTATGAGCCCGTCGCAGGCCATCTCAACCGACGGTTGGCTGGCAAAGAGTCTCAGGTGGGCGACCTGAGATATCCAGTCCAACACCAGGAGAGAAGCCATAAGGCCAATCAATTTGCTGCGCCTTGAACTCTGATCCTCAAATTTCCGAGGGGTTTGGCAGGTGATCCAGATGATATCCCTGCAATCCTCAGTGAGAATTTGAGCGCATGCTGTGCCCACTTTAGCTTTGTAAGAGCCGTCGCTCACGGCACAAAGGGTACCGGCAAGAAGAGCCTGAGCCAGGCGGTCCTCACTCCCTTCAATGGTAATGACCTCTGGATCCCAGTTGTGAGAACCTGATACAGCCCAACTGCCGAAGTGATGCCAGAGGTCAAGGAAGGAAGTTGGGGGGCAGGTGGTTTGGCTGGTAGATGAGGGCCCGTAGAGTGGAGGAGGACCCGGCTCTTGTGGATCGGAGAACGGCTAGGGAAGACAAAGACCAAGGCGCGGACAGCGTCCACTGGTAGAGGTGGGAGATCAGGGTTGAAACGTCGAGGCAAGCAAAAGGTGCGCTGACGGCTGGTGGAGGCAAGAGAAACGGAAGTACTCAGCATTGAGGAACTTTCCTTTCCCAGCCAACAGCAGTATGAAAGATTTGACAGTACTCAGCATTGAGTAACTTTCCTTTCCCAGCCTCCAGTAATCTTCCAACATGCTCTTGACATAGTCGTCCATGCGGATCTTGAGTTTTCCTTTCACCAAGGAATCCAAAGTCATTCCAAGATATCTGTGTATCTTTCCTCTGACGATTGTGCATGCCTTAATCGAACCATATCTCATGTTCAACCACTTAGCAAATTTGTCATTTACTTTTGGGTCCATGTGACTTGACATAAGATTGTCAACATGAAATCTGATAGTTTGCTGTTTTTTATCAACAACTTTGTTAGCAACACACGGGTCATATGGATTGAAAACAAATCTCTTTGCCTCCAAATCACTTCAAAGCTGATTATAGAATAGGAGGCTTGATTGTAACATCCCATATATAGCACGTAGTACCCGCACATAGATTACTCGCTTTCCGTTCTCTAATACAACGTATTTGCAATACTCTGGGGCCATGTCAATCAATATCTGGACCATCATGCCAGTGATTTTCATGTAGATACAATCTTCTCCCTCCTTAGCTTCAGACATATAAGTTTGAATGAAAGCGTTAGGCACATCCATTACATCTCTACCTTTGTGTGCATCAATAACACAAGTAGTGGTGATTGCTTCTTGCAAAGCAGTTGGACTTGCAGTGTCCTCTCGCAATAACCATTCATGAGTTCCATTGCCTTGGTATATGAGGGAACCTTTAATTGTCTTTTCAAATTGCTTCTCCACTAGTAACATCATCGCTGATCGGGTTTTCTTTCGCTCAGACGTGGTCATGTCTCTAACAAATTTGGGAGTGAAACAATCTCTCAGAAGCATTTGTCTCAATTCCTTATCCACAGCATCCTTTCCATCATCACCAAACTTCTTCAGTCCTTGATTGATGTAGTACTGTTGGATGAACTTCAGACCTTCTTCAGTATCAAACTTGGCCTTGATCTTCATCATGCAACAAGCGATCAGAATAGCATTGTGCTCTTCATAATCAGCTTTTATCTCGTTCCCAATCTGATGGAAACATAGATTGTGCTGTGCTTCAAGGATAGCTTTACTGTCTTTAGTACTGCGACTTCCTTCTTTGGTACAAGTACCAGATTTTAACAACTTGTTCTTCAACGGTTCCAATTCTCTCTCTCAATGCTTGTGTCTTGTCGCAACTTGATTCTTGTTCTTATTGGCAGAACTGCCACTCCTGCTTGAAGGCCATTCTCTTGGTTTCTTTGGAACTTGAGAAAGGTTCAGCCCTGACATTGCAACTTGCGCATACGTTTGCCCAGATTGAGTGACTTTGGCTACTTGAGGCGTTTCAGGCTCAAATACAATCTCTTCTTCTGGTGGCTCTTGTAGGTCCCCCAGATCAGTAACAAGGCTCCCAATATCATTGGTTCCTCTATCGACAAAGCGATGAAAAGAAAAAGGAGAAGCACCTGTTTGACGCATTCACTGATCTCCGAAACGGCATAGACAGCAATCAACAAGTAGTTGACGGCGTATTTGTAAAAAATTGGATAAAATGATTGCCTTGTTCAATATCGCTAATGAGCAGACGGAGTTGGTTTTGTTTTTGACGAAGCACACTACCTGCTTGACGAGCCTTTTTCAGGTAGAATATCAACAGGGATCAATTGGAAGTCGCCATCAACGACTTGATGAAGTTTTTGGAACAAGGCGGCAAGAAGCCTGGTACGAATGTGTATCAACAGGAGCGGTAATTTGTTGGCATATCTTACAAAGTGATTGACACAGCGTTGACGCACGTTTTTTGATATGCTCCAACTGCACAAAAAAAACTGTTTTATATTTCTGACATTTTACAAGAAAGGCAATGAAGGCGAGTACTATGGAACCTATATTTGCTTTGTGCAATGGAGTGGAATGGGGAAGACAAAGATTCTCTACAAATTGTGCAAGCAGTACAAGATGAATGAAGAAGGGACACGCATCTAAGAGTGGTACTGTTGGATGAACTTCAGACCTTCTTCAGTATCAAACTTGGCCTTGATCTTCATCATGCAACAAGCGATCAGAATAGCATTGTGCTCTTCATAATCAGCTTTTATCTCGTTCCCAATCTGATGGAAACATAGATTGTGCTGTGCTTCAAGGATAGCTTTACTGTCTTTAGTACTGCGACTTCCTTCTTTGGTACAAGTACCAGATTTTAACAACTTGTTCTTCAACGGTTCCAATTCTCTCTCTCAATGCTTGTGTCTTGTCGCAACTTGATTCTTGTTCTTATTGGCAGAACTGCCACTCCTGCTTGAAGGCCATTCTCTTGGTTTCTTTGGAACTTGAGAAAGGTTCAGCCCTGACATTGCAACTTGCGCATACGTTTGCCCAGATTGAGTGACTTTGGCTACTTGAGGCGTTTCAGGCTCAAATACAATCTCTTCTTCTGGTGGCTCTTGTAGGTCCCCCAGATCAGTAACGAGGCTCCCAATATCATTGGTTCCTAAGTAATCGGTACGTCTGTACTTTGTTTTTTCTTCGTGTATAGATAATATATAACGCATTTTGTCGGTCTTTACGTTACGTATGTACATACTGGATTTTCTACACGTTTTTTACATGTTCCGTGCCAAATTTTTTGACGCTTGTCCGCTTTTTTTACGCTTGTCCTGACGCTTGTCCGCTTTTTTTGACGCTTGTCCCGACGCTTGTCCGCTTTTACCGACTTTTTTCTGACGCTTTTCCGACGCTTGTCCGCTTTTTCTGGAACACCCGGCAGAACGATGATTTTTGTCATTGTTCGGAGAGCGGACAGACCTTCTCCAGTCATTTTCGAAATCCATCTCTTGCATCAGCTCGAAGGGCAGACGAACGGCGCCAACCAAAAGATATCGGGACTACTTGGAGATTCCGGAATTGCACGCGTGCGCCCGTCAAGTCGGTACCGCTCTACTAAAGCCACGCCGGATGCACTGCCGAAAATTGAAGGATGAAACTGCCATTCTCTTTCTACCCGAGTAGTGCTCGAGTATACTAGACAACAACACGAGGACAAGTGCACTGGTCTATCGGTTTCAGGCTTCAAATAGTACATCTGAAGTTATCGTGATTACACGCTTGGTTTTTTGTGGCCGAAAATTGAAGGATGAAACTGCCATTCTCTTTCTACCCGAGTAGTGCTCGAGTATACTAGACAACAACACGAGGACAAGTGCACTGGTCTATCGGTTTCAGGCTTCAAATAGTACATTTGAAGTTATCGTGATTACACGCTTGGTTTTTTGATGCCCACCCACCCACCCGTCTTTGGACGCCAGACAAGACCGGATGGATTAGGAACCCATCACGTCTACTGGCTGGTTTTGGTATGGTCACGTCCCGGATGTTCGGTGGAGAATTCTTTGGATGCTTAACGAGCATGGAGATATTCCTCTCAAAGCATTAAATAACAGAGAATTGCCACCCTCTCCGGTCCCGGACCAAACTTGCTGATACCAGTAAGGCAGAGCAAAATCTGGCTCTGTCTGGCTTTATCTATCAAACGATTAAAGTTGCAGGTATGGTGGTCGATTACTCGGATGGATTAAGCATCGACCCCCCACACATTGGTACCTGAATGTTATTCCTATTCAGTGTGCCCTTAGGTCTATAGTTGTTAAATGGAGTAAGCTTGATCAAATGTCGCCCCAACATCTAACTGGTTTGTCTCTGTTATTATGCCATCTCTTGCATCAGCTCGAAGGGCAGACGAACGGCGCCAACCAAAAGATATCGGGACTACTTGGAGATTCCGGAATTGCACGCGTGCGCCCGTCAAGTCGGTACCGCTCTACTAAAGCCACGCCGGATGCACTGCCGAAAATTGAAGGATGAAACTGCCATTCTCTTTCTACCCGAGTAGTGCTCGAGTATACTAGACAACAACACGAGGACAAGTGCACTGGTCTATCGGTTTCAGGCTTCAAATAGTACATCTGAAGTTATCGTGATTACACGCTTGGTTTTTTGTGGCCGAAAATTGAAGGATGAAACTGCCATTCTCTTTCTACCCGAGTAGTGCTCGAGTATACTAGACAACAACACGAGGACAAGTGCACTGGTCTATCGGTTTCAGGCTTCAAATAGTACATTTGAAGTTATCGTGATTACACGCTTGGTTTTTTGATGCCCACCCACCCACCCGTCTTTGGACGCCAGACAAGACCGGATGGATTAGGAACCCATCACGTCTACTGGCTGGTTTTGGTATGGTCACGTCCCGGATGTTCGGTGGAGAATTCTTTGGATGCTTAACGAGCATGGAGATATTCCTCTCAAAGCATTAAATAACAGAGAATTGCCACCCTCTCCGGTCCCGGACCAAACTTGCTGATACCAGTAAGGCAGAGCAAAATCTGGCTCTGTCTGGCTTTATCTATCAAACGATTAAAGTTGCAGGTATGGTGGTCGATTACTCGGATGGATTAAGCATCGACCCCCCACACATTGGTACCTGAATGTTATTCCTATTCAGTGTGCCCTTAGGTCTATAGTTGTTAAATGGAGTAAGCTTGATCAAATGTCGCCCCAACATCTAACTGGTTTGTCTCTGTTATTATGCCATCTCTTGCATCAGCTCGAAGGGCAGACGAACGGCGCCAACCAAAAGATATCGGGACTACTTGGAGATTCCGGAATTGCACGCGTGCGCCCGTCAAGTCGGTACCGCTCTACTAAAGCCACGCCGGATGCACTGCCGAAAATTGAAGGATGAAACTGCCATTCTCTTTCTACCCGAGTAGTGCTCGAGTATACTAGACAACAACACGAGGACAAGTGCACTGGTCTATCGGTTTCAGGCTTCAAATAGTACATCTGAAGTTATCGTGATTACACGCTTGGTTTTTTGTGGCCGAAAATTGAAGGATGAAACTGCCATTCTCTTTCTACCCGAGTAGTGCTCGAGTATACTAGACAACAACACGAGGACAAGTGCACTGGTCTATCGGTTTCAGGCTTCAAATAGTACATTTGAAGTTATCGTGATTACACGCTTGGTTTTTTGATGCCCACCCACCCACCCGTCTTTGGACGCCAGACAAGACCGGATGGATTAGGAACCCATCACGTCTACTGGCTGGTTTTGGTATGGTCACGTCCCGGATGTTCGGTGGAGAATTCTTTGGATGCTTAACGAGCATGGAGATATTCCTCTCAAAGCATTAAATAACAGAGAATTGCCACCCTCTCCGGTCCCGGACCAAACTTGCTGATACCAGTAAGGCAGAGCAAAATCTGGCTCTGTCTGGCTTTATCTATCAAACGATTAAAGTTGCAGGTATGGTGGTCGATTACTCGGATGGATTAAGCATCGACCCCCCACACATTGGTACCTGAATGTTATTCCTATTCAGTGTGCCCTTAGGTCTATAGTTGTTAAATGGAGTAAGCTTGATCAAATGTCGCCCCAACATCTAACTGGTTTGTCTCTGTTATTATGCCATCTCTTGCATCAGCTCGAAGGGCAGACGAACGGCGCCAACCAAAAGATATCGGGACTACTTGGAGATTCCGGAATTGCACGCGTGCGCCCGTCAAGTCGGTACCGCTCTACTAAAGCCACGCCGGATGCACTGCCGAAAATTGAAGGATGAAACTGCCATTCTCTTTCTACCCGAGTAGTGCTCGAGTATACTAGACAACAACACGAGGACAAGTGCACTGGTCTATCGGTTTCAGGCTTCAAATAGTACATCTGAAGTTATCGTGATTACACGCTTGGTTTTTTGTGGCCGAAAATTGAAGGATGAAACTGCCATTCTCTTTCTACCCGAGTAGTGCTCGAGTATACTAGACAACAACACGAGGACAAGTGCACTGGTCTATCGGTTTCAGGCTTCAAATAGTACATTTGAAGTTATCGTGATTACACGCTTGGTTTTTTGATGCCCACCCACCCACCCGTCTTTGGACGCCAGACAAGACCGGATGGATTAGGAACCCATCACGTCTACTGGCTGGTTTTGGTATGGTCACGTCCCGGATGTTCGGTGGAGAATTCTTTGGATGCTTAACGAGCATGGAGATATTCCTCTCAAAGCATTAAATAACAGAGAATTGCCACCCTCTCCGGTCCCGGACCAAACTTGCTGATACCAGTAAGGCAGAGCAAAATCTGGCTCTGTCTGGCTTTATCTATCAAACGATTAAAGTTGCAGGTATGGTGGTCGATTACTCGGATGGATTAAGCATCGACCCCCCACACATTGGTACCTGAATGTTATTCCTATTCAGTGTGCCCTTAGGTCTATAGTTGTTAAATGGAGTAAGCTTGATCAAATGTCGCCCCAACATCTAACTGGTTTGTCTCTGTTATTATGCCATCTCTTGCATCAGCTCGAAGGGCAGACGAACGGCGCCAACCAAAAGATATCGGGACTACTTGGAGATTCCGGAATTGCACGCGTGCGCCCGTCAAGTCGGTACCGCTCTACTAAAGCCACGCCGGATGCACTGCCGAAAATTGAAGGATGAAACTGCCATTCTCTTTCTACCCGAGTAGTGCTCGAGTATACTAGACAACAACACGAGGACAAGTGCACTGGTCTATCGGTTTCAGGCTTCAAATAGTACATCTGAAGTTATCGTGATTACACGCTTGGTTTTTTGTGGCCGAAAATTGAAGGATGAAACTGCCATTCTCTTTCTACCCGAGTAGTGCTCGAGTATACTAGACAACAACACGAGGACAAGTGCACTGGTCTATCGGTTTCAGGCTTCAAATAGTACATTTGAAGTTATCGTGATTACACGCTTGGTTTTTTGATGCCCACCCACCCACCCGTCTTTGGACGCCAGACAAGACCGGATGGATTAGGAACCCATCACGTCTACTGGCTGGTTTTGGTATGGTCACGTCCCGGATGTTCGGTGGAGAATTCTTTGGATGCTTAACGAGCATGGAGATATTCCTCTCAAAGCATTAAATAACAGAGAATTGCCACCCTCTCCGGTCCCGGACCAAACTTGCTGATACCAGTAAGGCAGAGCAAAATCTGGCTCTGTCTGGCTTTATCTATCAAACGATTAAAGTTGCAGGTATGGTGGTCGATTACTCGGATGGATTAAGCATCGACCCCCCACACATTGGTACCTGAATGTTATTCCTATTCAGTGTGCCCTTAGGTCTATAGTTGTTAAATGGAGTAAGCTTGATCGAATGTCGCCCCAACATCTAACTGGTTTGTCTCTGTTATTATGCCATCTCTTGCATCAGCTCAAAGGGCAGACGAACGGCGCCAACCAAAAGATATCGGGACTACTTGGAGATTCCGGAATTGCACGCGTGCGCCCGTCAAGTCGGTACCGCTCTACTAAAGCCACGCCGGAAGCACTGCCGAAAATTGAAGGATGAAACTGCCATTCTCTTTCTACCCGAGTAGTGCTCGAGTATACTAGGCAACAACACGAGGACAAGTGCACTGGTCTATCGGTATCAGGCTTCAAATAGTACATTTGAAGTTATCGTGATTACACGCTTGGTTTTTTGATGCCCACCCACCCACCGGGGTTTGGACGCCAGACA